TCATTTTTGGGTCATTTGGGTCGATTTCGTTCATTTTTTTGTGTTTTTCCTCGGGGTTTTTTGTGTTTTTTCGGGAATTCCGGGTGGGATTTTTTGGGAATTCCGTCCCCAGCTGTTCCCAGATGTTTTTCCCTTTTCCTGGAGCATTTTTGGGTCGATTTGAGTCGATTTTGGGTCATTTTTGGGTCATTTTTCGGTCGATTTCGGTCATTTTTGGCTCTTTTTTCTCGGGGTTTTTTGGGAATTCCGGGTGGGATTTTTTTGGGAATTCCATCCCCAGCTGTTCCCAGATGTTCCCACTTGTTTTTCCCTTTTTCTGGAAATTTTTGGGTTGATTTTGAGTCATTTTTGAGTCATTTTTGGGTCATTTTTGGGTCGATTTCGTTCATTTTTTTGTGTTTTTCCTCGGGGTTTTTTGTGTTTTTCCGGGAATTCCGGGTGGGATTTTTTTGGGAATTTTGTCCCAGCTGTTCTCAGCTGTTTTGGGTGTCCCCAGGGAGCCCCTGGGCTCGCTGAGCCCCGAGGAGAGGGACGCCAGGACCGTGTTCTGCATGCAGCTGGCGGCCAGGATCCGGCCCCGGGACCTCGAGGATTTCTTCTCTGCCGTGGGCAAGGTGAGAGGGGGGGGAGAATTCCCCAAAAATCCGGGAAAAAGTTGGGAAAAATTTGGGAAAAGTTGGGGAAAAGTTGGGGAAAAATTGGGGAAAAGTTGGGGAAAAAATCTGCAAAAATCTGGGAAAAGTGAGGGGAAAATCTGGGAAAAATTGGGGAAAAATTGGGGAAAAAATCGGGAAAAATCTGGGAAAAGTGAGGGGAAAATTGGGGAAAAATTCAGGAAAAATTCGGGAAAAATTGGGGAAAAATCCGGGAAAAGTTGGGGAAAAGTGGGGGAAAAGTTCGGGAAAAATTGGGGAAAAATCCGGGAAAAGTTGGGGAAAAAATCGGGAAAAATCTGGAAAAAGGCAGGGGAAAATCTGGGAAAATTCAGGGAAAAGTTGTGGAAAAGTCTGGGAAAAGTCAGGGGAAATTGGGGAAAAATCTGGAAAAGTTGGGGGAAAATCCGGGAAAAATTCGGGAAAAATTGGAGAGAAATCCAGGAAAAATCTGGGAAAAGGCAGGGGAAAATCTGGAAAAATTCGGGAAAAATCTGGGAAAAGACAGGGAAACATCGAGGAAAAGTCAGGGGAAAAATTGGGGAAAAATCCGGGAAAAGTTGGGGAAAAATTGGGGAAAAGTCCTGGAAAAATCTGGAAAAAATCCGGGAAAAATCTGGGAAAAGGAAGGGGAAAGGAAGGGGAAAA